CCTATGTAGAAAGCCTTGACTGTGAATATAATTAAGACCACCAGCTATACCGAACAAGAGATCTTTCTTGAATCCCCAATGGTCACAAGATATATTATCCCTTAGAGTGAATGGCCTTTTAAAGACATCATGTTTGTGGACAAACATGTCCACAAGAGAACCTCTGCAAAGTTCAAGCGCAATGAACATGATGTCATAATCTTCACACTTATCAGCATAAAAATATCGTACAACATTGGGATGATTCAGTTGCTGGAGATTCTCAACCTCTCGATAGTTCTTTTTATAGTCATCATTACTGTTTATAACTTGCTTTAATGCCACCAATTGATGCTCATTTGTAAGTGGTTGGCGAAAGGTTCCCAGATAAACACGAGTTCCGTTACTTCCAGTCCCTAAAAGTTTTCCTTTATCAAACTTCAGGCGATTGTCCTCACCAACGTCTTTGAAGTTCACATCGGTTGCAGTCGTTCCAGTCCCAACCCATTTAACAATTTGCCTCTGCAGGTTCAGAGCATTTTCAGTAGCCATTGTGGACAGAGCAGTAGAATACTTGGTGTCAGAAACTAGAAGACGGTGGAGACCATAACCTGTGGATAGAAATCGTAAATAAACATGATTGATTATGATTATGAGTCAGTCGCATCATGAGATATAAAATGATCATTTTCAAGTTATTTTCAATGTTTAAATGTACTGATTATCTCTCGGTCGATATTTAATTGAGGATTGAAGATTATTTTAAGAAATGCTAAGAAGAAAAGACAATTGTTCAGTCAGTAAAACATCTGATTAACCAAGAAGTCTCATGGATGAAATCTATAAATATAGTACAGTAATAATACAACCGTTTTTCGATAAAATCCAAAATTTTTGAACAATGTAATAGATATTCAGATAAATAAATAGTTTGAAAGAACTTAAATAAAAAATTAATACAATAAAATGGTTAAAAGAATTAATCCTTGACTTTAGTTTAAAAAAACACTGTGTCTAATACCTAGTCATTAATCACTACGAAAAATGATATAAATTCCCGATTATCACAAAGAAGAAACATGGCTAATTAAATCACATGACAAAATGACAAAGACAAGACGGCAGATGACCGAATATTTCAGGAAGAAATGGCTCTTTATTAGTGAAAAAATAGTACCTAAACTTAAAAAGCTCTATGACTTCTTCTTTCAATTTCTTTTTCAGAAATAGATATATTATATCATATTACTCATACATTAATTAATTTATCAATCAACGAAATATAACACTGACAATTGAACAATTCATCGAATAAATAATCTGAAATAATTGAAGACACAAAACAAACAAAAAACTGGATGATTAATTCTCTGTATTTATTTATTTTTTGATAAAATTATATTTGTAAGCCAATATCAGATGATATCTAAACTATACCTAATAATGATACATTGAAATTTGTTTAAACGTTGAATAAATGAATTATAAATGCCCCTCTAAAATGTGTCTACTGCTAAAATTATGTCCCGCTCAAGTTTACAATGCACGATGATTACTCTTGAGATTCATTAGAGTGGAGAGTTGCTGCTGATAGATCTTCCGTCTTACTTCAATGGTTTTCTCCGGAGAATTACATTGGTATTGAAACAAGTAGATGTATATTACTGGAAATGCCAAGGGCACTCCTTCGAAAAATTTATTTACCCAGAGACTCTGAGTTCCCATCTAAAGCAACTTCAAGTTCAGGCGACAGAGCAATTGCTTCTTCGTAATGCTGCTGAAGGTTTCGAATCAGCCTCATCAAACAGTTGAAGAGAGAACTACTAAGTCTTGAGGAAGGTACCTTTCCTTTAGTTGCTTTTCTATGAGAGACATAGTATTCCCATGCATCAGGTATTAATGAGGAATAGGTATATGCAAGCCTCTTGATTTATAAGTGTTAAGGATTCTCCAATTCTTCTCCATCAACGACACTATGTCGTGTCTTTGAAAGTCGGGGAGTTTGCAGTAGTACCTAGTACCAAGGTATATATCTAGAGATCTGACCGATAGAATTTTCTTAAACTTTCCAGATAGTTGTAATAATAAGACTGATAATCTGTGCAAGTTTGGACGAATTTCTATCTGCCTAATTTGACGACATCACTTCAAAAATTGAACCGATTTGGAGATTTTAGTTTAAGAAAATTCTATCGGTAATTTTTTCCCAAAATCTTGATAGAAGTTGTATCTAAAATCCCGGACAGAATCCCGGTAAAATTTTGGACGGGACTGGGATTTGGTAAAAAGTCCAATCCCGGCTACAGCCGGGACCCGGTACCGGGATTACACTTACTTTTGCAAAGACAGTTTATCTACATCAGTGACGTCAGTGGGGACTATTCTCAAAACACCGTGATCGCATGGCTGTCCTCCTCCTTCAGCAAACAGTATTGTGTCTTCTAACACCACTTCGTAGTGCTTTTTCTTTCCCTTCTTTACCTGAAACAGAAGGGTTACATATACAAATTAGGACAATCAAATACGTCAATTATAAGCAAGGTTTTTAAGACTTCTGAATTTTACATTAAACGATCCACAATTTATTAAAGAATTTAAGAACATTTTACCTCATTGCAAGAGACGACTTTGGAAGTGAGCTGCTGAAGGAAGGGTTCTTTTTGACACTTAAGCAGCATTGTTTTGAAGACGTTGTGAATCACAGTGGCTCTCAAACTTTATTTAGTAGGTAATCAATACATACCCTAATAAAAGTATGCCGCCATATAGTTGATTACTTGAAAGTATGGAATAATACAACCACGATGAATGCTAATATAAGAGCTTACAGCTACATCAATTGACTAATCTATGTAGTATAATTTTAAATCTTTAACTTTATTATTATTAATTATATTATATATTAGCGAAACTGTAATTTCAAGGAAGGATTTTAAAAATCAGTAGTCAACGTTTTAGTGCCCAAATATATTTGATTATATCCTTTTTTGTCCATCGGAAAAATGTCCATCGGAAAAATGAGAATCGAAAATAGTTCATTAAAGTATTTCACTACCTATAACAATGTCACTAAAACGCTTTATTATACTGTATCAATTATTATTATACATAGTATAAACAACTTTTGTGAACACTACAAGATCGGTTACATATTATTTTTGCCCAAAAACTTAATCTAAAAGATAATATTAAAAATTAAAAAGTATTATTGACTTTTAAAAAGTTGTGCACAAACATGGTCAAATGGCACGTGATATACCCCAAAGATAGGATGAACAAAAATTAATTACACACAATCTATTCATTTCAGCTGAAAATTTGTAAAACAGTTTCTACTTTAGATGTTGTTTTATCTTTCAAAAATATTACACACAACCGTTGCAGATGAACCCAGCAAGAACATATTGTGTTCTTACAGTGTCACTGCTATCTACAAAACAAAATTAGAGAATATGAAAGTCCACAATGCCCCTGTTCTCGAAGCCTGTGCCCAACTATTAGGTTTTAAAGTGCGTGAAGCTGAAAAGAAGCTGTACAGGAACCAGAAGATTCTGTGTGACCGAATGATACTCAAGATCGAGTCTCTGTTCGACACCAATTGTGATGCCTGCTCAACTGTATACCACAACAACTGACAGTCCAACCGCTCTTAAGATGTCGGCTTTGTATGCAGGGTTCCAACAATTGTGAAAAGATGAACGAGAAAGCGACCGCTTTTAAAGAACTAATTGAGAAGGGATTGTTCCCGCCTGAAGGGTTGTGGCTCTGTTATGGGTGCAACCGAAAAAAAACGACCTTTCCCTCTATCCCCCTCTAAAGCTATAAATGCAAGAAGCTCTCAAAGCTCGTCTGAAAGTATTTTGCATCCTATCAAAGAACATGACGAGGAAGGAGAAGAACATATCACTTCAGAAGAGGATAGAGAGAGCCCTAGAAGGAATAAAGATGACAACTTGAACGATGAACAGACCAACACTGTGAGTGTGATCTGTCATGAGAAGATGCCCCCATGGCCTCACTGGAAAACGCTATATAAATGGCAAAGAATGCCCACATCTGCATCCCAAAAGGTGCCGATATAAATCAGATTTTGGGGACGACAAACAAAGAGGCTACAAGAAAGGGGACAATTGCAACTTCTTCCACCCAAAACTATGCAGAAACTCAGTGGCTACCCGAACTTGTTTCCATAAAGACTGCGGCTTCCATCACTTGAAAGGAACTGCTAGAAACACTGTAGGAACCACAAATGCAGGAATAGAAAGGTTCCAGCTCCTGCAACAACAACAACAAAGAGGTATAAGAAGACCAGACTTTAGCCAAGGCCGGGGTCAGTTACTACCTTTAAGCTCCATCGAACCTGACAAAATGGGCAGCTTAAACTCAGTTAACACAGCATACTCACCAACTGTGGATAACTGGAGTCAGGCTAGAACACGCTGCACGCAAGGACAGTTAAATTCTGAAAGAAAAAGTTTTTTTAGAGAAACTCCTGGAAAACCTCAAGAATTGAATTATATCCGAAATGGACTCAAAGATCACATAGCTTCGGGACGAAATTCCGACACTCTAAGTGATCAGATGGCCATCCCCCAACATGTTTGGTACCGCATAATGAGGCTCATTGTTGCACGTTAGCAAATAGCTCCCGATGATATCACTGATTGGGTGACAAAATCACGGAGTAAGACGTAAGTGCCGAGATCACGTATCTGCAAGATCTTAAAAAGGTCACTTAAAGCACTTGAATTATCAAACCAAATGTGTTTAGAAACTTTGAAGTTCCTAGCTCAAAGCTTTCTCGCTTCATGGCGACAATAGTGAAAAAGAGGGAGTGGCATGCCACACCCTCTGTAATCAATGAAATTTTGCAAAACTTTTAGAAATTCCATGTTTGACCCATATGTATATTCTTCTGAAATTCTGACACGAATTACGTGAGTTATTAAAGGGATGTATGTGGCCTGGATAGTTACTTTTGGGCGACCCTGTATAGTGTATATTATTGTATGTATATTCTTATATTGTATACATATAATAATCAAGTCATAAAACGATGATCTCTAATTCTCATCAGGATATTTTAAAAACTTAACGTTGACAGCTGATTAATACATACTTACATAATATCAAAAATAATTTCCACACAGAAATATAATTCACGGCTCCTGTTGTTGATAAGCATCAAGGAATCAGTAGACAACCAACCTAAAACAGTCTCATAAAAAGGTCAAAAGCATCTGATTATCGCTCACTAGTCAATAAATAACTGCTTCTAATCATGTTATAGTGCAACATGCTTTTCAAATAGTGTTCGAAGAGTTTTTTTTGTCAGTATATGAAGTTCTTGACCATTTTTATCATTCTTCATGTAACTTGTGTCTTCATGTAACTTGTGAAACAAATAAATCACTGGAAACGACATAGGAATTGTTTCAAAAAAGTATTCGCCTAGTGTCTCATTGTCTCCGGATGGTATAAATACAATTAGAGAAGGATACATCTTCACTGCTTCATGGTAATGTTGTTGCAGATTACGGATGAACCTCATCATGGAGTTGTAAATAGTCGATATAACATTATCCGGGGGAATATTCCTCTTAATGGACATCCTGTGCAATTTATAGTACTCAAAGGCTTCAGGTATTTGGGAGAAAAACTGAAATTCAGGTCTGGTCAACTCTTTCCATGTTTGTTCCATCGATTTTATCAAGGGGCTCCGCTGAAAGTCATGTTTAAAATTGTTGAAAAATTGTTGACAACAGAGCATTCTATCACCATAATTCCAGAAGAAAGGATGCGTCAATAATGCTGAAGCTTGGGGACGCATGACTTTTTTACCACTCACACATGCATCAACTAGCATGTCAGCTAGAATTGCATCCCCGAGATATTCAAAATCTTGGGCAAGGTTCCCGTACCCACTTGCTTCTGAATCATCATCGTCATAGTCTGAACTATCATCGTTGAAGGTTGTTAGGTTCAAACTTATGTATGAAAACCGCTTTCCTGTCAAAATTGAACTGTCCCTAAGCACATCTGATCCAAATGGATGTTTAAACTGCTTACTGCGATTCTCAGAAAGCACATAATGGACAATACAGCCATATGCAAACACATCAACAGCTGAAGTCGGTTTCGTTGCACCATTGAGAACCTCTTTGGCCATCCAACCTTGAGTCCCAACAGTAACTTGTGACACGGACAATTTTGACTGTCCTTTTTTCAATTTTCTTGTTAATTCAAAATCACAAAGCACAGCTTTAAACCCGTATATGTTGTTATCATCATCTTGCACTAGTATATTCTGAGGTTTGAGGTCTCTATGAATAAAGCGCTGTCCGTGAACATAGTCCAATCCATTGGCTATACCAAGCAAGATGGTCTTCTTGAACCACCAGTCGTCACAAGGTACATGATTGTTAAGAATGAATGGCTTGTTAAAGACATCAAGTTTGTGATCAAACAGGTTTACAAGAGAACCTCGGCAGAGTTCAAGGGCTATGAACAAGAGATTAAATTTTTCCTCCTTATCAGCATATATGTACCGCACCACATTAGGATGTATCAGCTGCTGAAGATTCTCCACCTCGCGATATCTTTGTATATCGTAATGACCTTCTTTAATAGCAACCAACAGATGCTCATTTGTAACTTGTTGCCGATAGGTTCCAAGGTAAACTCGAGTTCCACAACTTCCACTCCCTAAACGTTGGTCTTTATCAAAACGCAAGCATCCTCCCTCGACAACATCTATAAATTTCACTCTAGCAGCTCTTTCCCCACCCCCAAGACAATTAGTGACTTGCTTCCGAAGGCTTAGGGCATTTCCAATGGTCATTGTGGAGAGACTGGAGAAAGCTGGATAAAGAGGCAGGATGAGACATTAATGTACCATGATCTATAGATAGAAATCGTGTTTATATTGTTATAATATATTATATTATTATGATATATATTGTAATTATACGTCATAATATAATAGTTGTCAATAATGAGTCAATCTCAAGAATTTATTTTATTTTATCCAGGTCCGAACCTATTTTTAATATAACTGTATTGATATAATTACTTGTCGAACCTTTGTTTAAGGGTGACAGGAAATATGTATTGCATCAATGCTATTTGGGGGTTCAATTGAAACTTGCGGAGTCATTTTCAGTTAAACAAAAATTTAAACTGAGCAAAATAAAATCGTTCAATTTACAGTCGTCAACAAATAAATATCTTTTGATGATCAAATTAAAGATTTTGGATGATGAAATATATAATAAATTAATAATTTCAATCGACTCACATTATATAGATTTAATAAATTTATTTACAAATCAAATTCAACATATCCTTGATTATTAGCATGTCTTAAATGCATCAATAATTTAACCCCTAATTATAAGATCTTGCATTAATTGTATAGAGACTTATCTATTAAAGTAGATGCTGATTTTTAATAATATGACAAAGACAAGTGGTCACTGACGGCAGATATATGACAAATTTTCAACAAATAGTAATACTATCAATTTATTAAATTCATTGACAAACGGAATGAAGCATCAGTAAGCATTGAACAGATTATACTCTATGAAAAACAATATTTACTACCCCACTGGGCGCTGCGCTCCTATGCGGCAAAGATATCGTAAAATAAAATATATAACTAAGTAAATCTACCACATATCATTAGTCATTAGATCCATATTCTGTAATAGTTGAAAAAAATATTTGTGAGTCCAGCTATTACAAAATATACAAAGAAAATAATCAATATTATGATTCAAAAGTTACGAAAATAACAAATACAGTAACACAAAAATTTAGAATCTCATAAAAGTATGATGGCTGAAGTCTGAATTATATCAAATCATAGGAGCCCACAAAAAAAACGTAGTAGTTCTCTGTTCTGTATTTAACAAGAATTTTGCCACGCACAATCAATTTTCCCTACAATGTTGTTGTTTATTATTCTTATATAATATTTATAATTATTTTAAATAAAGTTAAAATGTAAATTTTGCCAAATAGTTATCCAGCGTCTTTAAAAAAATGAATACACCGATCAAAGATGTATGCCGCACATTTTAAAACTGTGGAGTGGTCCAGTTCAGCGTTACAAATCGAGTACTCAATGGTATATTGTCCTCAACCACCAAAACGTTGGTTGCTATGCGTGTAATTAAATATTGCATGACTGGCGTTGCGCAGCAAAGTAAATGCTTCCAAGTTCCACAGAAAGCTAATGGTGTGCATATTGCGAAGGAGCAGATATCTGTCGTCACCGGTGCAACGTTTCGCCACCTCATATATAGTAGGAAATGAATCGACAGACATTTGAATTGTAAATTTGTTTGAAAAACTGAGTGGAGACTCTCACTTTGTCCCAAAACATCAATTATATGATCGACCCACTCAAAAGAGCGAAAACAGATTATTATAATATCTTCAACGAATAAAACTAAAATACTTAATGTATATGTCTTTAATGTATCAATAACATTACTATACAAGTACACTATGGGGGATGACCCAACTTTGACCCGATCCCAGGAGTTGATTAAGGAGTTCAACTATGATCAACAGGAAGATGTGGAAGGCTGTGTTGCACGCTGGTCCGATAAGTTAGAAAAAGACCTGCATATGGACTACCGTGAAATTGACTACGAAAGTCGTGAAAAGATCAAGACTAAGGATAAACAGACTCTGTCTGGCTGGATTGTGGATGCAGTGGACCTTGTTCGTCGGCAGAATAGTCAGATGTATCTCTTGAAGGAGATCATCGAGTGCTTCAAGACGGAAGCACTAGCAGACAAAGAAAAGGTGATCAGACTGCAGGGCCAGCTGCTGATGCAGAAGGACGAACAACTACAGTTGCTTAAGACGTCTGTTGAGGAGACAGTCCAAACAACGGTGGAGTCAGGGATTCAGAACTATAGTGCAGCTGTTCAACAGAACAGTGCAAGTGGTACGGTCTGCAACAGTAAAATCCTGAAGAAGGTGATGAAGAGTGTGGCTGCAGAGGAGGACAGGAGCAAGAACCTGATCGTGTTTGGGCTGAAAGAAGAGGAGGAAGAACAGCTTCCAGCGCTAGTTACCGCAGTTTTGGAGGAGATCGGGGAGAAACCTCACTTCGAAGCGACTAGAGTCGGTTGGAAGAGGCCAGGTAGTACGGCTATCCGACCAGTCAAGATCACCGTCCCAAGCTCAACAGCGGTTCATCAGATTCTGATGAAAACAGGGAGACTGAGGGAGAAGCACAAAGATGTATGGATATGTCCAGACAGATCCAGCGAAGAACGAGCAACAAGGAAGCATCTGGTCACTGACCTGAAGAAGAAGAGGGCGGAACAGACTCATCTCGACCACTACATCCGGTACGGGAAGGTATGTAGCCGTGATAAGAAGTCATCATGAGTTACACTCTCGGACACTGATCAGTATATATGAAGGAGTGATGATTATTTTAAGAATTTTCAGACGTTATCTGTATTTAAGAGACAACTATATATTTTGAATATTTTATTATTTGATTGTTTCACACTTTTCATATCTCATAATTTTATTACTAGGTGGAGGTGATGTTATTGAGACTTTGGGCGGCCATAAAACTCCTGTTTTGAAAGTTGTCCTCTGTACTTGTTTCACTGACCCACGCTTTATAGCATTTATACATTTCGGCCCATTTTATATGTTTGTTCGACTTGCTGTACATTTGTATATTTGCTATTTTGTAAAAGTTTCAAATCAAAAATCAATCAATTATAAGATCTTACATTAATTGTATATTATAATAAACAGATTATTATAATAATATCTTCATTCTTCAATGAATAAAACAAAAATAGTTATGATATGTTAACAGCTATACTTAATATACGAATACCCTTCTTACTATAAGTACCTACTGTAAGAACTTAGTTCACAATATTAGTTTACAATGCACGATGATTACTCTTGAGATTCATTAGAGTGGAGAGTTGCTGCTGATATATCTTCCGTCTTACTTCAATATTTTTCTCCGGAGAATTACATTGGTATTGGAACAAGTAGATGTATATTACTGGAAATGCCAGGGGCACTCCTTCGAAAAAATATTTACCCAGAGACTCTGAGTTCCCATCTAAAGCAACTTCAAGTTCAGGCGACAGAGCAATTGCTTCTTCGTAATGCTGCTGAAGATTTCGAATCAGCCTCATCAAACAGTTGAAGAGAGAACTACTCAGTCTTGAAGAAGGTAACTTTCCTTTTGTTGCTTTTCTATGAGAGACATAATATTCCCATGCATCAGGTATTAATGAGGAATAGTTATAAGTGTTGAGGATTCTCCAATTCTTCTCCATCAACGACACTATGTCATGTCTTTGAAAGTCGTGTTTATACAAGTTAAACATCATTTCATTGCTCTGAATTCTCTTCTCATACGACCAGAAGAATGGATGGAGTAACAGCTCAGGAGCTGAAGGTCGGACAGTTTTATCCCCTGATATGCAAACACTGACGAGTAAGTCCGCTATAATCGCATCACCAAGATATTCATATCCTAGCCCACTTCTACCCTGCAGTAATTCACCGACGTAATAAGATTGACCAGTAGTACGAATTGAGCCATTTATATCAGCAATATGGGTACTAATGTATGAAGACCGCTTACTTTCCATGATGGCATTATCCCGATGAATGTCTGCTCCAAATGGATGGATTGCATGCTTGTCTCTGTTCTCCACCAGTACAAATTGAACTATACACCCGTAAGCAAACACATCTAAAGCTTTAGTTTGTGCTCCCCCGGCAAGCACTTCTTTGGCCATCCAACCCTGGGTACCAACAATCCCCTGAGACACAGACAATTTAGACTTCCCTGCCTCCATTTCTTTGGCGAGCTCGAAGTCACATATTACTGCTTTGTAACCAAAGATGTTGCTGTCATCTCCCTGAACAAGAATGTTTTGTGGTTTAAGGTCTCTATGGACATGACCCTGTTGATGGATGTAATCTAGACCGTTTGCAATTCCAAGAAGCAAATGTTTTTTAAACCACCAATCGTTAGCAGGAGCTCGATTTTTGAGTATAAAGGGACATTCAAAAACATCTTTGCGGAGTTCAAATATATTGATTAAAGATCCTCTGCATAACTCAAGAGCGATAAACATAAGATTGAATTCATCATTGTTGTCAGCGAATAAATATTTGATCACATTGGAATGATTAAGTTTCTGCAATGTGGCAACTTCTCGGTACGTTGCTTTATACTCTGCCTCAGTATCATATTGGATCCTTTTGATGGCTACCAGCTTTTCATCATTAGTTACACTCTGTCGGAACGTTCCTAAATAAACACGAGTTCCATTACTGCCGCTTCCTAGCAGAACGTTCTTATCTAGTTTAAGGAATTTCCTTTCCCCAACTTCTTTGAAAGCAACATTTTCTGCTTTATTTCCGATCCCCAGCCGTTTCGTTATTTGCTTTTCAAGGTTTGAACAATTTCGCAGCTTGACTTCATTTCGGTATTGATCAACAGTAATGTTTCTCGTAATAGTAGGCTGAGATTGAGAAGCTGATAGTTGTCTCACAGAAGCTTCATGATCTCTAGACGCCCTCTCACTGTCATCTGACCCTCCCAATTCCTCCACCTCATCCGACATTATAGTTATAAGCCATAACCTGTAAAATTTGTTTACATTGCTTTTAATCATGATACATTATAATATCATAGGTTTGAATTGCAGTTTCGGTGATTTTCAATATTTCGTTGTTTTTATTTTTATATGTATTTGGAGCCCATTATGGGCAGGAACCGAGAGTGCCCATTTTCCCACGGTTTGTCACATTTTGTCAATCTTGTCGTATACTGTCATATATACTGTCTGAATATAATGTCGTATATTGTCATATATTGTCAAATATTGTCATATATTGTCATATTATCATATTGTCGGATATTGCCAAATCTTGTCGTATATTGTCGTATATTGTCATATAATATCAAATATTGTCGTATATTGTCATATATTGGCACATATTGTCACATCTTGTCGTAAAATTATCATGACATTGGGCACTCTCGGTTCCTGCCCCATTATGATCATTTAGGGAGAAGTGTCTAGTATTCCTGCTATGCCTGTAAAGCAACACATTTGCCACTTATAATAAACGTTATTATGCACTACATAATATTATTATGCATCATGTACACAAAGAATGGGCAGTATTAGGGATATTTCATGCTGCTCCAAACTTCCAAAGACTACTGTAACATACAGTGGAATTATTCAATAACGTTTGAGGTTTGGATGGAAAATTATTATCCGACAATTAAGAACAAAATTTATTATACCAACCGACCGATATGTTTAGATCAATTAATATATTAAAGTTGTGCCTCTGTTACATTCTATCTTTTTTGGTCAATTACGTTATTTTTATTACTTTGGAATAATTTTTCAGAAATACACAAAAACACAACTTAGAAGAAAAACATTTTAAATCATTATACACGTAATTTTAAAATTCATAAAGAAGCAATTTAATACCTGATCAAAATTAAAACTGTTGATACAAAAACACACTGAGTGTCTAAAAAAGGCGGCCAAGTGATACGTGTTGATAACTCAAAACCTGTTTGATATGAGGTATGACCTCCGGAGTCCGTGAATAATTCAAACCTCTACATCATTAATTCAAACCTCTACATCATTAATTCAAACCTCTACAATATCATTAATTCTGGATGATTTTGGAAGCATCATGAAATTTTTAACAAAATGGAACATCATAGCATATGACTCATTAGGTTATAGGCGAATTATTAACAATAGTCACTTGGTCGCCTTTTTTACTTTTTTATAGACTCCCTGTATAAAAGACTCCCTGTATAAATGACATGTAAAAAATACTGATGGAACAGAACTAGACAAAACATTAACCTACAAATTAAAACAATAATCGATATATCATCAATTTAATTAGTCAATATGAACACGTCATACAGTCAGATTCCGTCAATTTGTAAACAGCTTCAAGTAATCTTTGAAATAAATATTTGAAATATATTAAATACTGTTATACCTATAAGATAAAACGCTGATAGTGCCGAATGAAGGTTCCTGAACATGTAGAGATGATTTGCTTCCAAGAAAACAAAAAGGCCTTAAAATTGGTCAAAATTATAAGCATTTATAATACGGGGGGGGGGGGGGGGGGGGGGGGGGTGTTTCAATATCTCATGGGCAAGAGGACGGGCAATGATAACACCACTAATGCAGGTATCGACAAGCATGTCAGCCAGTATGGAATCCCCCAGATATGCATAACCTATAGGTAAATAGTTGTGACGGCGTTCTTGCAGGTTTAAAGTCGAACTTATATATGAGGAGCGCTTTGATTTCCGTATATTCATGTCTCTATGCAGATCAGATCCAAAAGGATGCATATCTTGCTCATTCCTATTCTCAGACAACACATAATGCACAATACATCCATATGCAAACACATCAATAGATCGAGTCAATTTCTTTGCCCCAGCAAGTACCTCTCTGGCCATCCAACCATGAGTACCAACAGCAGCTTGTGACACAGACAATTTCGCCTTCCCATCTTTTATTTTTCTTGATAACTCAAAATCACAGATTACAGCTTTATAACCATACCGGCTGTCATTATCATCACGTACTAGTATATTCTGTGGTTTAAGGTCCCTATGTATATAGCCTTGACTGTGCACATAGTTTAGTCCATGAGCTATACCGAACAAGAGATCTTTCTTGAATTCCCAATGGTCACACGATATAATATTATCCCTTAGAGTGAATTGTCTTTTGAAGACATCACGTTTGTGAACGAACATATCAACTAAAGAACCTCTGCAAAGCTCAAGGGCAATGAACATGATGTCATAATCTTCACACTTATCAGCATACAAATAGTGTACCACATTTGGATGATTCAGTTGCTGCAGATTCTCCACCTCACGATATGTGTTTCTATATTCTACATCACTGTTGTATTGAACATGCTTTATGGCCACTAACTGCGGCTCATTTGTAACTGGCCGGCGAAATGTTCCCAGATAAACACGAGTTCCATTACTACCACTTCCTAAAAGTTTGCCTTTATCAAACGTAAGGCGTTTGTCCTCACCAACGTCTTTAAACTTCACATCGGTCGCATTCGGTCCAGTCCCAAGCCATTTAGCAATTTGCCTCTGCAGGTTGAGAGCATTTCCAGCAGCCATTGTGGACAGGGCACTGTTAAACAGCTAGAACATGACAGGCTAGGTGGAAACACTTTCTGACTTCTTATCCATAACCTGTGGACAGAAATCGTAAATAAACATTGTTGATTATAATTATGGGTCATTCGCATCATGGGACATAAAATTATCACAAAATCACTAATATATTCCAAGTCCAAGTTACTTTCAATTTGAATGTACTAATCAACTCTGATCTCGGCGAATATCTGTACTCGAAAATTCGAAAATTGAAGATTATTCGAAGAAAGGCTTGAGAGAAAAGACAATTGTTCAGTCATTAAATTAGAATTAGAATTATGAGAATTAAATCATCTGATCAACCAAGAAGTTTTTAAAACTTAAAATAACCACGATGAAATCTATAATTATTTAAATACAGTTATAATACAATAATCTTTCAATAAAATCAAACATCTTCGGGCAATGTAATAGATATTCAGATAAATAAATGAGAACTCTAACATAATGATTATAAAAGAATTAATCCCTGACTTCAGTATATAATAAAATATTTAACACCGTGTCTAAACAGGTATAATACTGGTCATTAACTTAAAACAATACAAATGCCCGATAATCACAAAAAGGAAACATGGCTATTCAACTTAAATGAAAATATTATGACAAAAAAAAGATTGAAGAAATAGCACTTAAAAAGTTCTAGATAACACTGATAACTTTTAACAATTTATCGGATACATTATCTGAAATAACTGAAGCAAAAATGTGTGAGCTGAGCAACTATAAAAAGAACATTACATTCAATACAAATATTTAAAGTCAAATTAAAAAACCCAGACAATCAAAAAACTGAGTGCTTTTCTTTATTTAGTAATAACATTATCATGATTATGTTAATCAGCATAATCACACAATTCAAAAAATATCTAAACTATAATAATAATACTCCGGAATTCAAAACTTTGAATGAATGAATAGTAATAATAATTTATTTGTTATCTGCTATTCTTAAATGCCCTTCTTAAAAATATATACTGCTAAAATTATGTCCGCACCCACGTTTACAATGCACGATGATTGCTTTTGAGAGTCATTAGAGTGGAGAGTTGCTGCTGATATATCTTCCGTCTTACTTCAATGGTTTTCTCCGGAGAATTACATTGGTATTGAAACAAGTAGATGTATATTACTGGAAATGCCAAGGGCACTCCTTCGAAAAAATATTTACCCAGAGACTCTGAGTTCCCATCTAAAGCAACTTCAAGTTCAGGTGACAGAGCAATTGCTTCTTCGTAATGCTGCTGAAGGTTTCGAATCAGCCTCATCAAACAGTTGAAGAGAGAACTACTCAGTCTTGAGGAAGGTACCTTTCCTTTAGTTGCTTTTCTATGAGAAACATAATATTCCCATGCATCAGGTATTAATGAGGAATAGGTATAAGTGTTGAGGATTCTCCAATTCTTCTCCATCAACGACACTATGTCGTGTCTTTGAAAGTCGTGTTTATACAAATTAAACATCATTTCATTGCTCTGGATTCTCTTCTCATACGACCAGAAGAATGGATGGAGCAACAGCTCAGGAGCCGAAGGTCGGACAGTTATATCCCCTGATATGCAAACACTGACGAGTAAGTCTGCTATAATTGCATCACCAAGATATTCATATCCTAGCCCACTTCTACCCTGCAGTAATTCACCGACATAATAAGATTGACCAGTAGTACGGATTGAGCCATTTATATCAGCAATATGTGTACTAATGTATGAAGACCGCTTACTTTCCATGATGGCATTATCCCGGTGGATGTCTGCTCCAAATGGATGGATTGCATGCTTATCTCTGTTCTCCACCAGAACAAATTGAACTATACACCCGTAAGCAAACACATCTAAGGCTTTAGTTTGTGCTCCCCCGGCAAGCACCTCCTTAGCCATCCAGCCCTGGGTACCAACGATCCCCTGAGACACAGACAATTTAGACTTCCCTGCCTCCATTTCTTTGGCGAGCTCGAAGTCACATATTACTGCTTTGTAACCAAAGATGTTGCTGTCATCTCCCTGAACAAGAATGTTTTGTGGTTTAAGGTCTCTATGAACATGACCCTGTTGATGGATGTAATCTAGACCGTTTGCAATTCCAAGAAGCAAATGTTTTTTAAACCACCAATCGTTAGCAGGAGCTCGATTTTTGAGTATAAAGGGACATTCAAAAACATCTTTGCGGAGTTCAAATATATTGATTAAAGATCCTCTGCATAACTCAAGAGCGATAAACATAAGATTGAATTCATCATTGTTGTCAGCGAATAAATATTTGATCACATTGGAATGATTAAGTTTTTGTAGAGTGGCAACTTCTCGGTACGTTGCTTTATACTCTGCCTCAGTATCATATTGGATCCTTTTGATTGCCACCAGCTTTTCATCATTAGTTACACTCTGTCGGAACGTTCCTAAATAAACACGAGTTCCGTTACTGCCACTCCCTAGCAGAACGTTCTTATCTAGTTTAAGGACTTTCCTTTCCCCAACTTCTTTAAAGGCAACATTACCTGCTCTATTTCCGATCCCCAGCCGTTTCGTTATTTGCTTCTCAAGGTTTGAACAATTTCGCAGCTTGACTTCATTTCGGTATTGATCAACAGTAATGTTTTTCGTAATAGTAGGCTGAGAAGCTGATAGTTGTCTCACAGAAGCTTCATGATCTCTAGACGTCCTCTCACTGTCATCTGACCCTCCCAATTCCTCCACCTCATCCGACATTATAGTTATAAGCCATAACCTGTAAAATTTGTTTACATTGCTTTTAATCATGATACATTATAATATCATAGGTTTGAATTGCAGTTTCGGTGATTTTCAATATTTCGTTGTTTTTATTTTTATATGTATTTGGAGCCCATTATGGGCAGGAACCGAGAGTGCCCATTTTCCCACGGTTTGTCACATTTTGTCAATCTTGTCGTATACTGTCATATTCTGTCTGAATATAATGTCGTATATTGTCATATATTGTCAAATATTGTCATATATTGTCATATTATATTGTCGGATATTGCCAAATCTTGTCGTATATTGTCGTATATTGTCATATAATATCAAATATTGTCGTATATTGTCATATATTGGCACATATTGTCACATCTTGTCGTAAAATTATCATGACATTGGGCACTCTCGGTTCCTGCCCCATTATGATCATTTAGGGAGAAGTGTCTAGTATTCCTGCTATGCCTGTAAAGCAACACATTTGCCACTTATAATAAACGTTATTATGCACTACATAATATTATTATGCATCATGTACACAAAGAATGGGCAGTATTAGGGATATTTCATGCTGCTCCAAACTTCCAAAGACTACTGTAACATACAGTGGAATTATTCAATAACGTTTGAGGTTTGGATGGAAAATTATTATCCGACAATTAAGAACAAAATTTATTATACCAACCGACCGATATGTTTAGATCAATTAATATATTAAAGTTGTGCCTCTGTTACATTCTATCTTTTTTGGTCAATTACGTTATTTTTATTACTTTGGAATAATTTTTCAGAAATACACAAAAACACAACTTAGAAGAAAAACATTTTAAATCATTATACACGTAATTTTAAAATTCATAAAGAAGCAATTTAATACCTGATCAAAATTAAAACTGTTGATACAAAAACACACTGAGTGTCTAAAAAAGGCGGCCAAGTGATACGTGTTGATAACTCAAAACCTGTTTGATATGAGGTATGACCTCCGGAGTCCGTGAATAATTCAAACCTCTACATCATTAATTCAAACCTCTACATCATTAATTCAAACCTCTACAATATCATTAATTCTGGATGATTTTGGAAGCATCATGAAATTTTTAACAAAATGGAACATCATAGCATATGACTCATTAGGTTATAGGCGAATTATTAACAATAGTCACTTGGTCGCCTTTTTTACTTTTTTATAGACTCCCTGTATAAAAGACTCCCTGTATAAATGACATGTAAAAAATACTGATGGAACAGAACTAGACAAAACATTAACCTACAAATTAAAACAATAATCGATATATCATCAATTTAATTAGTCAATATGAACACGTCATACAGTCAGATTCCGTCAATTTGTAAACAGCTTCAAGTAATCTTTGAAATAAATATTTGAAATATATTAAATACTGTTATACCTATAAGATAAAACGCTGATAGTGCCGAATGAAGGTTCCTGAACATGTAGAGATGATTTGCTTCCAAGAAAACAAAAAGGCCTTAAAATTGGTCAAAATTATAAGCATTTATAATACGGGGGGGGGGGGGGGGGGGGGGGGGCGGGGGGGGGGGGGGGGGGGGGGGGCGGCAAGTATGTTATGGGTAGCAGAAAAGGTAGCTAGTTAACTGAGTGGTAAAATGATAAAAATAGCAGGCAGTAAGCTTCTATAAAGATATAGAGTGGGGGAAATCATTCACGACATTCACCCAGCTTGACAAACTGACAAAGCAAAGGCTTATTGAAAAGAAGCTCTTTTTGTTGAAAAAAGATGCACTATTAAACTTCACCAGTAAAAAAAGCGTGTGCATAGTACTTCATCAGTAAAATTGGGAACACAGCAATTTTACCAATCAATCTGATTCTGTGTAGGTATTTCAATGCAATGTTTTCAAATAATGAGTGAATCGCACATTTAGCTATAACTGTGTTATATAACTGTGTTAATATTTTCAATCAGATTAAAAGAGGGAGACCATTGTCTCTCCTTCCCCAATATCGTCATTTTTTACAATCTAGTAAATCACGTTTTTTACAACAACTAGTTTCTTTTACAACTAGTAAATAAGTTACTAATTATGTAAATAAAAAGGTTGCGGAAATCAAGTATTTAAATGTGTTACTTTTTAAATCAATTTTGTATCTATAGTTATATTATCATATTTGGAAGTAAACATTAGCCAGTAAGCAAAGCTGGTCTCCAATCACAGCTATAATATTAATAAGAGGAAGAACCCATGCTGGAGTAAGTACAAAATACACGAGGACTTCCTGAGTCTGTTTTAAAGTCAAACTATATTATACGATTGATGTATGGACCTACTAGACTGGATGCTGAATATGAACTTCACTATAGGTATTAAATTCGTAAACTGGTCAGTGGTCACGGGCGATCAAACTAATGTCCAAGGGAACTGTATTTTAAAATAAGAACTGCATGATCAGTTTACAAAGAATAATGATCCTTCTTTATGGCAAAAAGAGTCTCTATTTGCACATCGTAAATATCTAGCTTTTCTTTGTGCGATCTATTGCTCTGTAATTGCAACCATTGATATGTTATGTATATAACAGGAAATGATAGAGGAACACCCTCAAAGAAGTATTGGCCCATTGATTCATTGCTTCCGTCCATGACCTCATCAAGGTCTGGCAAAATTCCAATTGCGTCTTCATAATGTTGTTGAATGTTCCGAATAGTTCTCATTAAACAGTTAAAGATCGAAGCACTAAGTTTAACCGAGGGACCCTTTCTTCCGCTTATTCTTCTATGCATAAGATAATAATCCCATGCAGCAGGTACCAATAAAGAAAGGGGATGAGTGTCGAGGGCTTTCCAATTTGATTCCATTACGGATATTGCATCTTCCTGTTGGAAGTTGTCTTTAAATGCATTAAACATTCTTTCATTACACTGCATTCGTTGTTCATAAGACCAGTAGAATGGATGTTTTATTATTTCAGCTGCACTGGGGCGTACATTTATATTCTCTGATATACAAACACCCACAAGCATGTCAGCTAGAAGGGCATCTCCAAGATATCTGTAACCCACCCAATTTCTTTTACTAGAAGATGCAGATTGACCATCAGGGTGGACATAACCTTCATTATCAGCAATATGAGTACTGATGTATGAGTACCTTTTACCTTCCATGATGGCACTATCTCGTTGAATATCAGGGCCGAATGGATGGGTAATATCCTTAGCTCTGCTCTCAGACATAACAAATTGAATAATGCACCCATAAGCAAAGATATCTAAAGCTTTAGTTTGATCACCTTTATTGAGAACCTCCTTAGCCATCCAACCATGAGTTCCGACAATTCCTGATGAAACAGACAGTTTAGTCTTGCCAAGCTTTAACTCTCTGGTCAGCTCAAAGTCACAAATAACTGCTTTGTACCCAAATTCGTTGCTATCGTCCACCTGAACAAGAATGTTCTGCGGCTTAAGGTCTCTATGGACATGACCCTCTTGGTGGATATAATTTAATCCGTTAGCTACTCCTAGAAGTAGATGCTTTTTGAACCGCCAATCATCTGGAGGAGCTTTGTTACGAAGAATGAAGGGACGCTCAAATACATCTTTACGAAGTTCAAAGACGTTGATTAAAGATCCCTCGCATAATTCGAGAGCGATAAACATAAGATTGTATTCATCGACTTTGTCAGCACATAAGTATTTGATTAAATTGTAATGGTCTAGTCTCTGTAAATTTTCAATTTCTCTGTATGTTGCTTTATACTCTGCCTCAGTGTCATATTGTGTCCTTTTGATGGCTACCAGCTTTTCATCATTAGTTACACTCTGACGGAATGTTCCTAGATAAACACGAGTTCCGTTACTGCCACTCCCTAGCAGAACGTTCTTATCTAGTCTAAGGAATTTTCTTTCCCCAACTTCTTTAAAGGCAACACTCCTTGCTCTATTTCCGATCCCCAGCCGTTTTGTTATTTGCTTTTCAAGGTTTAAACAATTTCGCAGCTTGACTTCATTTCGGTATTGATCAACGGTAAAGTTTTTCGTAATAGTAGGCAGAGAAGTTGATTTTTGTCTCACAGAAGCTTCATCTCTAGACGTCCTCTCATCTGACCCTCCCAAGTCCTCCCACTCTAGACGTCCTCTCATTGCCATCTGACCCTCCCAACTCCTCCGACTCATCCAACATAGTTATAAGCCATAACCTGTAAAATTTGTTTGCATTGCTTTTAATCGAGATACATTATATTATCATATAATCATAGGTTTGAATTGCAGTTTCGGTGATTTTCAATATTTTGTTGTTTTTATTTGTATATGTATTTTGGAGCCCATTATGGGCAGAAACCGAGAGTGCCCATTTTCCCACGGTTTGTCACATTTTGTCAATCTTGTCGTATACTGTCATATACTGTCTGAATATAATGTCGTATATTGTCATATATTGTCAAATATTGTCATATATTGTCATACTATATTGTCGTATATATTGCTAAATCTTGTCGTTTATTGTCGAATCTTGTCACATATTGTCGTATATTGTCGTATATTGTCGTATATTGGGTATATTGTCGAATATTGTCAAATAATGTCAAATATTGTCGTATATTGCCATATATGGGCACATATTTTCACATCTTGTCGTAAAATTATCATGACATTGGGCACTCTCGGTTCCTGCCCCATTATGATCATTTAGGGAGGAGTGTCTAGTATTCCTGCTATGCCTGTAAAGCAACACATTTGCCACGTATAATAAACGTTATTATGCACTACATAATTTGACCAAAACCCATAATCATGGGTAGAGTGGACCGCTGCCAGTGTCTCTCTTTCCCAAACAAAAGGAAATGATATTAATTTGATTGACCGTTCTCAAATGCAAAATGATACCGAGAATGAAATCGGTCGCTCGCTTTTCCCATTCATTCACGGCTTACGAATTGTAATAAGTTTCGATTGATTAGGTACATCAATCAGATGCTGTAAAAATCTCTTTGGGTTGCGTTCGGGTCGATACCTAGTATTTCGGGGTAAGGGTGGTAGTTATTATTTATTGAATTAGCTGAAGTTTATCGAATCTTTATTGCCGAGTACAGCTGCCTTTGGGTAGTTTTTCTTAGTCTATTACAATTGTAAATGAATGGGAAAAGCGAGCGACCGATTTCATTCTCGGTATCATTTTGCATTTGAGAACGGTCAATCAAATTAATATCATTTCCTTTTGTTTGGGAAAGAGAGACACTGGCAGCGGTCCACTCTACCCATGATTATGGGTTTTGGTCAAATATCATCTCTTTTTGATTATAATGTCAGGGTACATTATAAAGTCGAAATATAAACTGATATCTTCATTAATAAGGAGGAAGTTTCAACAATTTCGAAATTTTCCTTTAAAAACATTTCCTTGTGTTTAGGTAAGCATATCGGTCGATCACTGACTGAATATGCCAATTAATACTCATTCAAGTTGGTATTAAATTCATTTATTATGACATTAAACTGTCGTGGCAAAGCAGAATTTGTTGGAAATCACGAATGAGCAAAATTCTCACCTTTCGCACGTGCAAACTTTGAGCGGACGTTGCGTGCGCATCCAATATTGAATCGCCGTAAATTTTTGCATGTAATTGTTTTATATATAGCCTAATAAGTATGCAAAGTTTCAAAGTATTTCAAGAAGAACTGTAATCACAACGGCACTCTAAAGTTGACAGAAAATGATGAAAACAGCAATTTTCAGTGATTTTAGCAATTTTCTATCAATTTGGGCGTGTCCCCACGTGTGCAACTTTTCGATTTTTAACTTTAAAACTAGCCTAATGCACAATTTATACCTATAGGAAGCAGAACTGCGCTCCACAACCTAAGGCATGGCCCAACACCAGAGAATACTAAATCGCAAAATTGACGTTTTTATAAAATAATTCTTCAAAAAAGCACAAACTTCAATGACGAATATCTTTATGAAGGAGCAAGCTAGAAAAACTTTCCGGTAGATTTTCAGAATGCTTGAACAATTATCTAAGATAATAATTTCCTCAGATTTTGAATACAGTTACTTTTTAATGGTGTGAAATCATTTTTAAAAGTTATTACTTTGTCAAAAATCAAGTTTTAAAAACGGTTAACTTGATGACGTCATCAAGGGGTGTTCATGACGTCAAATAATTTTTTTATACAATGTAAACTAAAGTGTAAACAATTATTTTCAAGACCTGTGGTCGGAAATGGCTGTATCTTTTATACTTTTGAATCTATGGACAATTAAATACAGGCTACAATTGACTGGCAAAGCGTCTATCCCTGAATATATATATATATGTATATATATAGATATCACGACAATCTGTCGTAAAACAGGGGTTCTAGAAAACCCACTTCCCGATGTTCCTGAAACCTGAAACTTTTTTTGCAGTCGATTTGGTCAACGTCTAGACGCCCTGAAAAATTTCAGATCTCTAACTCGATTTTAACATGGTTTTTAAGGCACCTGAATATGGCGATTTTGGGTTTTTTACCGAATTTCGTATAACATAACAGTGCTGGCGAGTATTTTATGCAAATTTCTTAAAAATCTCAACATAACTATTTTTTATTCCTGTCATCTTTGACATCAAATTAGAATGTTTTGAACTAAAAATAAATCTGCTGAACGACTTCTGACGAGTCTTAATGCCTGAAAAACTCCTGCCGGAGGCGGCGGCCTTCGGCCGCCGCCTCCGGCCGGAGTGCACGCTTCGCGTGCACGAAAGAGGCTTGTAACGTGTACCAAAAGGGGTATAATAGTAAAGGGGGTATAATAGTAAAGGGGGTACATAGTATACCCACAATAAATGCACCGGTCGTGCTTGCCAGCACTGTGATATTATTATGCATCATGTACACAAAGAATGGGCAGTATTATGGATATTTCATGCTGCTCCAAAGACTACTGTAACATACAGTGGAATTATTCAATAACGGTTTGGATGGAAAATTATTATCCGACAATTAAGAACAAAATTTATTATACCAACCGACCGATATGTTTAGATCGATTAATATTATATCATAAAGTTGTGCCTCTGTTTCATTCTATCTTTTTTGGTCAATTACGTTATTTTTAATACTTTTGAATAATTTTTCAGAAATACACGAAAACACAACTTCGAAGAAAAACATTTTAAATCATTATACGTAATTTTAAAATTCATAAAGAAAAAGGCGACCAAGTGATACGTGTTGATAACTCAAAACCTGTTTGATATGACGTATGACCTCCGGAGTCCGTGAAAAAAATTCAAACCTCTACATCATTTGAGGATGGTGTGGCAGCTTCATGAAATTTTTAACAAAATGGAACATCATAGCACATGACTCTTAAAAGTCATTAGGTTAAAGGCGAATTATTAACAAAAGTCACTTGGTCGCCTTTTTTATGGACTCCCTGTATAAAAGACTCACTGTATAAAAGAAATAAATAAATAAATAAATTCTAACATTTATTACACACTTCGACATTAAAATATACCCAACAAAGATGTACATTTAAGAAATGTAAAAAATACTGATGGAACAGAGCTAAATAAAACATTAGCCTACAAATTAAAAAAATAATATATATCATAAAGTCATAAATTCAATTAGTCAATAAGAACACGTCATACAGTCAGATTCCGTCAATTTGTAAACAGCTTCAAGTAATCTTTGAAATAAATATTCGAAATATGAATACTGTTATACCTATAAGATAAAACGCTGATAGTGCCGAATGAAGGTTCCTGAATATGTAGAGATGATTTGCTAGGTCAAGAAAACAAAAAGGCCTTAAAATTGGTTAAAATTACAAGCATTTATAATACAGGGGCCGCAAGTATGTAATGGGTAGCAGAAAAGGTAGCTAGTTAACTGAGCGGTAAAATGATAAAAATTGCAGGCAGCATTATAATGTGGGGGAAAATCATTCAGGACATTTACCCAGCTTGACAAATTAACGAAGCCTTATTGAAAAGAATCTATTTTTGTTGAGAAAAAATGTACTATTAGACTTCACCAGTAAAAAAGCGTGTGAATAAGTGCTTCACCAGTAAAATTGTGAACATACCAATTATACCAATCAATCTGATTCTGTGTATTTCAATGCAATGTTTTCAAATAATGAGTGAATCTCATAATATTTAGCTATAACTGTGTAAAGTAATTTTCAATCAGATTAAAAGAGGGAGACCATTGTCTCTCCTTCCCAAATATCACAATCGTCATTTTTTACAATCACAATAATCATTTATAATGGTAAATCAGTTACCAGTTATGTAAACGAAAATTGTAAAGGTTAAGGAAATCAAGTATTTAAACTTTTAAAAGTGTTACTTTTAAAATCAATTTCGTATCTATAATTATATAATATATTTTAAAGTAAACATTGGCCAGTAAGCAAAGCTGGTCCCCAATGAAATGAAATGAAATGAGGTATTTATATCCCGCTCATATGATTAACCAACAACACAAGGAAGGTGGTTAACCATGTCAGAGCGGCTGACTGTGAGTGATGTGAGCAAATGTGTAAAAGTGAACTAAAGTATAACTCGTCATAAGGTAAAGACAAAATTAAAACATCTTTTATTGTAAACCACACTAAACTAAGTAGAAGCAGAAACCATACAATACATGTAGGTAAAATAAAGGTACAGTGACATAATCAATCAAGAAAGAGACATATCCTAGAAAGTTAGACATCAAGACATAAAATGGAGTGCGGTAAAAAATAAAAGCCAACGTGTCTTGCAAAGTGAAGACAATGGAAAGAAAAAAACATCAGAACTGATTACATAAATGATTCTTTAACAGTCGCTTGAAACAGTTGGTATCAGTAATACTTCTCAACATCAGCGGAAGAGAGTTCCATGCAACCGGTGCATGGCTTGAAAAAAAAAATCAAAACCATAATAAGAGAAAGAACCCATGATGGAGTAAGAGCTACAGAATTAGACGACATATTGCTAAACATGCCATTAAATGAGGGTAAAAAATACATGAGGACTTTCTGAGTCTGTTTCAAAGTCAAACTATATTATATTATTACGATTGATATATCATATTATATGGACCTACTATTATACTGGATGCTGAATATGAACTTTACTGTAAGTATTAGATTCGTAAACTGGTCGATGGTTACGGGTGATCAAACTAATGTCCAAGGGAACTGTCTTTAAAATAAGAACTGCATGATCAGTTTACAAAGAACAATGATAATTATTTATGGCATAAAGGGTATCCATTTGCACATCGTAAATATCCTGCTTTTCTCCGCCCGATCTATTGCTCTGTGATTGCAACCAATGAAAGTGTATGTATATAACAGGAAATGATAGAGGAACACCCTCAAAGAAGTATTGGCCCATTGATTCATCGTTTCCCTTCATGACCTTTTCAAGGTCTGGCAAAATTTTAATTGCGTCATTGTAATGTTGTTGAATGTTCCGAATGTTTCTCATCAAACAGTTAAAGATTTTGGCACTAAGCTCTACCGAGGGAGCGTTTTTTCCATTTATCTTTCTATACTTAACATAATAATCCCATGCAACAGGTACCAATGATGAAAGGCGGTGAGTGCCGAGGGTTTCCCAATGCTTTTCCATCACCGATATTATATTTACTTTTTGGAAGTTGTCTTTAAATGCATTAAACATTTTTTCGTTACACTGCATTCGTTGTTCATAAGACCAGTAGAATGGATGTTCAATTATTCCAGCTGCACTGGGGCGTACATTTATATTCTCTGATATACAAACACCCACAAGCATGTCAGCTAGAAGGGCATCTCCAAGATATCTGTAACCCACCCAATTTCTCTTACTAAAAGATGCAGATTGACGATCAGGATAGACATGACCTTTATTATCAGCAATATGAGTACTGATGTATGAGTACCTTTTACTTTTTATGATATTTCTATTTCGGTCATCATCAGGTCCGAATGGATGGGTTTTGCCCATATCTCTGTTCTCAGACATAACAAATTGAACAATGCACCCATAAGCAAAGATATCTAAAGCTTTAGTTTGATCACCTCCATTGAGAACCTCCTTAGCCATCCAACCATGAGTCCCGACAAGTCCAGATGCATGAGAAAGTTTGCTCTTACCAGGCTTCAATTCCCTGGTCAGCTCGAAATCACAAATGACTGCTTTGTATCCGAATACATTGCTGTCATCCCCCTGGACAAGGATGTTCTGAGGCTTTAGGTCCCTGTGCACATGATCCTCTTGATGGACATATTTTAATCCGTTAGCTATTCCTAGAAGTAGATGCTTTTTAAACCACCAATCATCTGAAGGAGATCCGTTTCGTAGCACAAAGGGGCGATCAAATACATCTTTACGAAGTTCAAAGACATTGATTAAAGATCCTCTGCATAACTCTAGAGCTATAAACATAAGACGAAATTGAATATTTTTGTCAGCAAACAAGTATTTAATCAGATTGACATTGTCCAGTTTCTGCAGGGTTAAAATTTCTCTGTCTATTTTAATATACTCTTCATCTGTGTCATATTGTATTCTCTTTATGGCTACCAGTTGTTCAACATTTGTTACACTCTGACGGAATGTTCCTAAATAAACACGAGTTCCGTTACTGCCGCTCCCTAGCAGAACGTCATGATCAAGTTTGAGGAATCCTTTCTCTCCTACTTCATTAAAAATGGGAGGTTTAGCATTACTTTCAGTTCCCATCCACTTGGTTATCTGTTTGTGAAGACTTAGTGCGTTTCGTTGAATAGCAATACCTTCGTGTGTAGCAATAGTATTTTCTGATAAAGCAGTGCTGTTTTGGGAACTACTTTCAAGTTTCATGGCCGAAACCCTTTCCCCAAGTTCACGACCAGAGTCAGCTGCCTGCTTCATAACCTGTTAAATTATATCCTTAAACATAAACCATAAAATTGCCTTACATAAATTGACATAAAATAATAGAAGATATAATAATATACAATATGTATTGTAACTTACAAGTAAAGCATAACGTGTTAGTGTTACTAAAATCGCATGAACGGAAGTCAACTGAGCGAACTTTTAACTTACCCTGTTCCAGCGTACCACTGATGTTAGATGTAAGGAAGACGTTCACAAGACCACACACATTAATAGCTAATGTACAGAAGGACTTTAAATACCTGTTTAGCCATTTTAAAGGTATTGACACCAACCTATAAGAATTTTTGCTGTTTTAAAAGGGTAAAATAGTGGCGAAGTATTATTCAATAATATTGACTGAAATAAATCTATCAGACAGGGTACATCATTTAAACTAGATATAACCAACTTAATTAAATTGCAATTTATGGCAAATATTTAGTTATTTTGCGTTATCTGTTGATTTTTGCCGAAACTCTACATATAATAATGCAGCAAGGAAAAGTATACTTAAATATGTTCACATATTACGGGAGCCTCATCTTAGTCCTCCACCGTAACCCACTTCACATAATATAGCTATTGATTAGAAATTACAGTAGTGTAACTGTAAGCTTTTCCGGTAATTCAAGCGGGTACCGCTCAGCTGCCGATAGGGTAGGGCGCCGGTCGGGGCCCCTACATGACCATACCACAACCATGTAAAGATTACCGCTCAAGGACTGCAGCGAACAGAACACGATTCTAGTCCAGCTTCGGCTACATGCGAGAAGTTAACGAAAAATACAAATAGGAGACTACAACAGCTGGTGAATACAGCAGACCTATCGGTGGAGGGGATCAGGAGTATTCTGGTCATGCAGTGGCAGGACCTTCTTCAAATGATTCTTCTAGATCAGCAACATCAAACATGTAATGATCGTGATTCGTGATCGTGGTTCAGCAATTATTCACAATCATCATACCAGCTAGGACACAAACATGCAGTTTGTCTTCTGCCACGTTTAAGAAACCTTAAAGGTACCTCCATCTGCATGCAGACACAGCTCAGCAGCAAATCAGTCACTGTATGATAATTTATTTGCAGGCCAAAATTGTGGATTGCAAGCCTTGCCATCTGAATTGCATCGGCGACCGGGAGCATTTCAAATCACATCTCACCCAGTTCATGTTATCTCTTCCCTATACACCGCTTATTACTTTATCAGGGGCTACACTGCTCAGAACTCAAACTCGCTGCTTTACTGGAGGAATGGCAGAGAGATCTACACTCTGGGGTGGTCACACAATTTGATGGCCCTGTTAAAGTTTAAAGAATCTCAACATAGGTAGGTTGGTGACTTACTACAACCTGATTCGATCCATATGTTTAGAGTTTACACTTACAGTGTCACAATTGAAACATCGCAACATGGCAAAAAATATGTTAATTTCGTCACAAAAAATATTATAACTCTGTTTTCTCCTTGCTGGAAAATGACTAGTTTATCGACATTTTTATGATGATAAAGTTATGTTGAATTCTATAAATAGAGGAGGTATGGTGAACTTCAAAATAGAGTAAGTAAATTAGTAATGTTAATTTCGTCACAAAAGTTATTTTAAAAGTTTGCCGCTTCGTTCATTTTTAGCTTTTACTAAATTTTCTAACACGTGCATTATTAAGGAGTAAAATGCCTCCGCAGGCATTCCAGTTCGGTATATATTTTAACACTTCATGCACGGGTGCCGCTTCGTTCATTTTTAGCTTTTACTAAATTTTCTAACACGTGCATTATTAAGGAGTAAAATGCCTCCGCAGGCATTCCAGTTCGGTATATATTTTAACACTTCATGCACGGGTGCCGCTTCGTTCATTTTTAGCTTTTACTAAATTTTCTAACACGTGCATTATTAAGGAGTAAAATGCCTCCGCAGGCATTCCAGTTCGGTATATATTTTAACACTTCATGCACGGGTGCCATTCTGCTTATTTGGTTCACAGGTTTTTCCTAGACTCCGTGATAGGATATTAGCTTTCTGTACCAGTTTTCCGTTATCTTAGGATTTATTCTGCTTTTATTTTATTCCCACTCTCGATTCCTCGCTAGCAGTCCGGTTAATTTAGTACCTTTAGCGGGTCTCATTTAATCATTAGGTTTTATTAAAGAACCTCTCACCCTCTAAGAAACTCCGTTTGGAGATATTCCTTATTAGGTTCTATGTTATTAAATTTCCTTGTGTTTGAATACTGTCACTTTTTAACTGTTCTTAGTCATTGTTATTTTCGGCCGATTTCTGCAACGTTACACCGGGTCATCATTTATTATTTCTGGGATGGAGACGACTTATATCTACATTTAACCTGAAGCGTTTGCTTGTCTGACTTACTTCATTAGACTTTATTTCAACATACCGTGTCGTATCATGCTTTATCGTGTCTCCTTCTTCAGAGACAGGCTTCTTTCAGCATACCGTGTCGTATCAAGCTTTATCGTCTCTCCTTCTTCAGAGACAGGCTTTCTTTCAACATTCCGTGTCTTATCATGCTTAATCGTCTCTCCTTCTTCAGAGACAGGCTTTCTTTCAACATACCATGTCGTATCACGTTTTATCGTCTCTCCTTCTTCAGAGACAGGCTTTCTTTTAGTATACCTCATACCATGTCGTATCAAGTTTTTTTTTTTCGTCTCTCCTTCTTCAGAGACTGGCTTTCTTTCAGCATACCGTGTCGTGTCAAGTTTTTATCGTCTCTCCAGCTCCTTCAGAGACAGGCTTTATTTCAACATACCATGTCGTATCATGTTTTAATGGTCTCTCCTTCAGAGACCGGCTTTCTTGCAGCATACCATGTCGTATCAAGTTTTTATCGTCTCTCCTTCAGAGACAGGCTTTATTTCAACATACCATGTCGTATCATGTTTTTATGGTCTCTCCTTCAGAGACCGGCTTTCTTGCAGCATACCATGTCGTATCAAGTTTTTATCGTCTCTCCTTCAGAGACAGGCTTTATTTCAACATACCATGTCGTATCATGTTTTTATGGTCTCTCCTTCAGAGACCGGCTTTCTTGCAGCATACCGTGTCGTCTCTCCTTCTTCAGAGATAGGCTTTATTTCAACATACCGTGTCGTATCATGCTTTATCGTGTCTCCTTCATCAGACACAGGCTTTCTTTCAACATACCGTGTCGTTTCATGCTTTATCATGTCTCCTTCATCAGACACAGGCTTTCTTTCAACATACCGTGTCGTCTCTCCTTCTTCAGAGACATGCTTTATTTCAACATACCGTGTCGTATCTTGTTTTATTGTCTCTACTTCTTCAGAGACATTCACTATTTCAGTCAAGGTATTTATCCTTATATTTATTATTGGTTTTAAAAATTTTTAAATTCAAATTTGTATTTTATTTATCAGTTTAATTTGAAGCACACTTGGACAAATAGAGCCTCCCATTTTGTTATTATTATCTAGATAGGTGATAGGTACCATGGACACTGGATCTCAGCAACTTACAGAAGATACTACCTGTCATCATAATAGAGTCTAATGAACTCTACCCACAGGTTAGTCAGGCAGTGGATCACACTCTGATGACATCTCCTTTTGGAGATTTCGGACTCTCAGCTACCTATACTAGTTGAGTGTGTTCCATAACCTAGCACCCTGCCTAAACGTTCGGTACTCCTGGACCTATGTGGCAAGCCTGCTCCCTGAACAAAAAAAAAAAAAAAAAAAAAATATTTTAAAAGTTTGATCATATTTCGTTCACATCGACATTTTTATTATGGTTGGAACTGATTAATACACATTTTTAGTGACTGAGCAAAATTCAACTTAACATTGTTAAACCTGAGCTCTGATGTGCTGGACAGTGGACAATAACCTGCCAATTATTTCTAAAAGAATATTGAATTCTAATAGAGGTATAGTTCTTCAAAATAGGGACAAGAAATGTTGACTTTGTCACACTATTTTTGTGACAATGTACTAGCATCAACTGCCCTCTCTTGAATCAACTGTATCGTACATAGTCCATACTCCTTATATGGAGTTTTTCCGCTTTTCAAACCAAAATCAGATATAAATGATTTCGGCAATGCACCCAAAATTAAAAATTCTATAAAATGTGACAGAATTAACCTCATTTCCCAATAACCAAGTGCGTGTATTAGATCGGTAGAAGAACTATCAAATAATGAGTTTAAAGGGTTTTTAGGACACCTCACAGTAGAAAAGAATATTGTATTCTGAGTGTGACAAAGTTGACCACATATTGCCTTATAACCGCTCGATCCATGCCCTTTAACCAATGTTGTATCATAATTGTTAGATTGACCCAATCTACTATATTTTAGACTAAGGAATGCTAATTGGGCAGCTATAGTTAACAAAGTCACAAAAATGTGACATTTATTTTAACCATTATAGTGCCTAACAACAATACATTTCATTTCTGAGCAGTGCATAATATGGGAGTATGAGTCACGTGGCTAATGTTCAGAACTTCTGAACGTGCTAGGTTAATAGATGCTCAAACTCAAATGAACGTGTCCATAATATAATATGGTGCATACAGAATGCATTGCACAGCAAAATTGTATAGATGGAATCTAAGTCAACTTCATTTCTAATAATCGTAAAAATTTTTAATTGTAGTTGACGAAATGAGAGTCTCCACTCAGTGTGTTAAAACATAATTCTTTGTCGACGTTTCGGCTACATGCCTTTGTCATAAACAGGACACTGAGTGGAGACTCTCATTTCGTCAACTACAATTAAAAATAAATGATTGACCCACTCATAAGAGCAAAACAAGATTACCAATCGTAAAAATTGTTTAAAAACCAAATGTTTATAATCCAGCTTCCAGTTATACAAATAAAACTTTCAGGAAATCTAAGTTTGACCCATATCTATAATCTTAGAAATTTCTGTGCAATTTTAAGAAGAATTACGTGATTTATTAAAGGGTTGCGTGTGGGCAGTTACTGGGCCACCCTGTATATTCAAAATATGACAAGGATCTAACTTTTACAATAACTTATGTGACGAAATTTACATTTCTTGCCCCTAGCCTGCCCCCTATTTTGAAGAATCATACCTCGATTAGAATATAATGTTACCTTACCATTATACCTATATCGATAAACTAGTTATTTTGCTAACAAGGAGCAATTAAACAATTAATAGAGTTTTAATTTGTTTTTAAAATTGAAATATTTTTACTATGTTGAGATGTTATAATTGTGCCAATGTTAACAAATTACTGCCACATAATGATTTATGTGACCGGTGCGTGGTTGCAATAGTGTTGATTGATCCATAATTAGTTAAATAGGGTGTTAAAGCTATATTTGCTAAATTTCACAAATGTCGAGATACCATACAAATATATGTGACAAAGTTTTCCTATTTGTGCCTTGTGTGTTTTGCTTATAATGATGAGATATTCTAACACTTCCCAACACATTCAGGTTAAAAAATAATGCTAGACTATTCGGCATTCTTTGTCAGGGCATCATAAACATCCCTCGGATAAATTTCTTAATTGTGTGACGGAATTGACCAGGTGGTACCTTTTAACGACAAAAGTCGCTAAATATGTAGATCATTGTCATATGGAACTATCCTATATGAACTGGAAGTTCGAAAATTTGGTCAAGCACGGCATCAAGGGGCCATGTTAGCTCAGTCACGTTTTTATAGTGTGACAATGTTGGCATCTCACTGCCGGCCGAATTTAAGCGATATCTTATCATCTTATCATCGTTATGTGTTTACCTAGAGGATGAGACGATTATCCTCACCATGGAGGGTTTATAGTTTTTTAATACATCTTATCTGACCCAGTTGTATTTTCAGAGATAAGAAAAACAAAGGCTATGTATTTAATGTAACAATCAATGTGATTATTAAGCTTGAGGAATAAGAATTAGGAATTAAGGAATAACAATGTTTTGCATAGTAATAAACACGAAAATATATAATTAAAAATCCTGCATACCCATTTATAAACATGTAAAAATCACACAAGTAAAATATATCAAAAAGGGACGAAATTTTATGAGTTAAACGTTCAAAATTAACACTTCCTCTTGAACTAATAAAGCCATCTAATGCAATTGCATTATCTAGACAAAAGACCATGAAATTACAAAATATTATGAAATAATACTGAATCATTTTCATCATTTTCATGCTCTTATCTAGCGAAAGAGGTCTAAATATTATCAAAAACATTTTAATAATATTTAGAACTCTGTAATATTTTAAAAACGTATCAAAATATATTTAGCTGCATGTCGTGTGATGACTTGACTTCGAAAATCGAACTATATCTTTCTAAAATGAAAGATAAGAATTTGCTTCCTTAATATCACTCCAATCTATTAACCATAATATAAACAACTCACAAGATGGTTCAGAATAGGAAAGCTCTCTCAGTATAAAAACAACTGGAAAAGAGCTATTGCCAAATTTAAAATGCCTTAGTAAGAAAGAGAAAGCGATTTCGGCGAGCAATGTTACAGGAGAGGAGGCGTTCTGTGTCTATGAGCAGAAGATGAGCCCACAAAATTGTATAATAAGGTGAAAGTGGCATTCGAAGCCAAGTGCCATTATATGATAGGAAACTCAATTAACAAGGTATAGTGTATACCTCTTAGCTATCAATTATCACCGTAACACATATAATCACAATTTTGATGACCAATTTCTCATTTTCCATGTCTACTTTCACTTGGGGTTCGAGACCTTCCCTTCCCATTTGCATTAGGGGTTTGAGATCTTTCCTGTCCGTTTGAACTTTCAGAACTCCCTTGTCCACTAGGAGTTCGAGACCTTCGTTGCACTTGTCCACCATCATTGTCCTGTCTTAGAAGGACTTTGTCGAGTGTGGTCCATTGGTATTTAAACCTCTCTTCGGAAACTTCGCTGTTCAAATCTTCAAGGGAGTAATAGCTGTGATAGCTGTCAATTCTCGGGTGCTTGATGAAGCTTAGATAAACCACAGGAAGTGCCCCAGCAACTTTTTCTAAGAAGTATCTTGAAAAATCTTCATCTCCTCCCTGACCTAAGCAATCTGACAAAGCTTTGCAGATTGGTTCCTTTGAACTCCTCGCAACGATTTCTTGGTAGTGTTGTCTTATATTCCTAAGGATTCTCAAAAAGTTGCATAATTTGTGTGGACTGCATGATTTGGAGTTATGCTTGGTATTATAATTGAAAGCTTCCCGGATTTCTTTAGTAAATCCCTGCTTATGGTATTTAGACCAGTTATCCTCTAGAATTTTACCAAAACCAGAATCTTTAGAAGCTGACTTTATATCATTAAAAACTCGCTCTAGAAACTGAATCATTGTTGTGGCATCCCAGAAAAAAGGATTTTTTGCAATTTCCTTCGTTGTAGGTCGCAGTTCAGGGTTTCCCAGTACACAAATTTCAATGAGCATATCAGCTAAAACATCATTTAGATTTGGTTTCCATGATTTGTACTTGGGAAGTGAACTTAGGTAAGATCTTCTCTCCTCTGCTCTAATGTTGTAGTTTCGGTGATTGATATCACCAAATGGGTGCATATAGTATTGTTTACTCTTTTCAGTCATGACATACTGCATGACACACCCAAATGAGAAAATATCAACTGCCTTTGTTCCTTTAACTTTCTTCTTTGATTTTTTCTTTATTGATTTGTCACTGGCCTTCTCTAACATTGTCAGCACTTCCTTGGCCCTCCAACCATCAGATCCTATTAGATTGTCATGGGCTGTCTTGCTTCTTCGTCCTTCATCTATTTCAAGACTTAGCCCAAAATCAGAGAGCACACCCTCAAAATAGAGGTCCTTCACAAGATTAACACGCTGTTTAACCTTTCTCAGCAATATGTTTTGGGGCTTGATGTCACCGTGTATTATGTCAAGGTCATGCAAGTAATTCAATCCTGATAATACATCATTGAGAATCACCTTTTTAAAATGTTTCCCGCTATCACTGTGTAACTTCAAGAATTTTTCCCCTACAGGAGTCTTTTCAATGTAGTCGACTAAACATCCCTCACACAGCTCCAATGCAATATAAACAAAGTCAAGATCTGAGTCGGCTAGATAGTATCTCACAACATTTGGATGATTAAACTTTCTCAATAGTCTGGTTTCATTGACTTGTTGAACTGCCATATTATCATCAATCAATATGTTATCAATCCCCTGTAAACATTCTTGTTGTATCTTTTTGATTGCCACAGATAATGATCCTTCGAAAAAACCTTTGTATACCCTTGTCCCCATACTCCCTGTTCCAAGCAACTCATTTCTGCAGAGTTGTAATTTCCAAGAAGTACCACAAGGCCTTGGTTCGTTTGAAGAAGAAGAATGAAACTTAAACATGCTCTTTTGTAATTAATTGCAGAAATTATGTTAGCTTGATGTTCACTCCACGTAGATCTTCAAGCAGCTAAGATGTAGCAGCATTTCTGCACGTTTCTGTTACCCATTCCATAAGCATAACCATATCAGCCTACAGAAAAGGTTTTTAGTGCAATATGATTTACATTGTGTTCGAATGTGAGCTAATAAAAATGTAACAGTTCAATATCAAATTACCTGGATATCAAATTAAGAGCATTCATATTTATATTATAATATAAGCCAAACCAAGAAGTCCAATGGCAAACTTCGTCAATTTGTCATTGACATAATATAGTACAACGATACAAAATCTGTGATTTAATATAAGTAATTTAATAGGAATCATAGCATTAGGAAGCATATATTATAATAATAGAGGACAGTGACTTCCCACTACCGATTTCTGTGACCAGTAATACAAATTCAGTTTAATATATAAAGTGTATTGTACTCAACCATTTACTAATAAGAACACATTCAGTGAATAAAACACTACAATTTGAAATTTACAAAATCAATGTAATACAATATTATTATGTAAAGCAGTAATTATTGTTTCGAAAAAAATAAGTTCTTCGAGCAAGAAGTTGATCCATCCATCGGCATATAAGTGAAAAACATCTTACACCATTAGGAAGATTCACATTTAGTAGGGAAAGCTAAGTTCTTTGCATTTCATTATTGACTCTATCAGCCAGATATTGTACGATAATATACCTACATGATATTTGCTGCAGTCAGTAATGAGCATGCCCTAAAAAGAATACAAATTAATATTTACTCACAGTTTGATTATAATGTAATATATATATGTACTATAAATCTAAAGATACCTACAAGAAATGACACCACTTTACACAAAACATCATATTATTTAAACCAATTTTCAACCCTGCAAATTGACTAATAAGTGACAGAATTTGCTTGACCTGTTCAAATAATTCTTTTCTGAGTTATACAAAACATACAGTAAGGCACCTTGCCTTAATCTATAATAATGTCTCAAAAGTGTTTCAAATTGTGTTCAAACAATTATTTATGATCGAGTTGCTTAAAAGTATCTCAAATGTTGATGCTACCAAGTTTACCTTACCAAGTTTCAGCAGCTACATTATGATATTACATGCAAAACTACTATACAGTATGATTCAGAAAAAGTAGGAGCTCCATGACCATATTTGTTAAAAACTTTTTACTGTTGGCGAAGTCTTGCAAGACGTTGAGACAGTTCATCCTGTTCGGCATTGGCATGTGAAGTAGTTCCAATAGAGGAGCTGGGGACAGACTGACCACGAAGTTCCACACCAACCTCTAATCCATGCTCATCAGCCACCTCCTGCATCAGAGAATCAACAGAATCTTCTGGAACTGATAGTGTAACAGTATTGCTCATGCTCTGCTCCATCGCTTGGCTTTGTACATCCATGTCTTCAAACTGCTTTTCAAATTTATCCATAAGTTGCTGCATCTTCTCAAGGTTCATTGATTTCATGGCAGCATCAAGACCTTTCACAACACTGCCCATGTTACTGGTGACTTGTTTCATACTTATTGCAGCTTGAACTCTAGAACAAACACCATCAACACGAGATGCCATCCTCAAATAATTAGCATATTGATTCTTCTGTCGTATAGCATTTTCAGCATGAATCCGGGCACCTTCAACATTGCCTTTCTCTATTGCTCTTTTCAGTTTGTTCTTTTCAGCTCCTTCTTCTTTCTTACACTTATTTGCATTTCTTTCCAATTGTTTGGCTGCAAATTTCAAGTTGAATTGCTGTTTCTCCAGTTGTTTTGTAGACATCCTGAGAGTATTTTTTATTAAAGCTGCCATTAGAAAGTTAGAAACTCAATATGATGATGATGAAAATGTTAATTGTTATAGGCTACAATGAGCATATAAGTAACAAATAGCATTGATAATAATAATAATAACACTATAGTTGAAGATCAAGAAAACAACAATTTCAAGAAAATAGCCCCTTAAAAGAAGCTCTTCCACAGTGGGCCACCAGGCTTTATTCTGGCTCAAAATTGAGTTTGTCAGTTTAAGATGCATTTGAAATGATCTGATAGGAAAACTGGATAGGATAAAAAAAACTACAGGATAAAAAATACCGAAATTAAAAATTGCATGCGGTTTAACCGCTGTGCGGCGCCGCACAGCGGTTAAACCGCAAAATTTGCGATTTCTCGCAAACCAATTTTTTTGCTTTTTGGCAGTGAAAAATAGTTCTTACTCATGTCTGTGCCTAAGATAAGATAATATAAAGTAAATTGACTCCTTTTATATCTCCAAACAACTCTTAAACCTTAATTTATTGGAAAAAACCTTATTAGGCTATCTAATTTAGCTGATTTTTGACATGAGCCTGAGTTTTGGTTCTATTTGTAGGGAAATTTTTGGCCTTCTAGCCCAAAAACAATTGTGTAGCTGGCCTTTGCCGCCTTATTCCATAGTACCATCTGAAATCTTGTAGGATTCCCTACAAGATACAAGAAAAATCATAAGGGCATTTAGGGGAATATTTTAAAAAGACCGATTTTGTACCAATTTATTGTCTTAAACTATGTTATTCGGGGCTTATGCCCAAATATGGGCACACATATTTTTGTTACAAATCTGCCATAATTTGTTCAATCTTGATGAAATTTAAAATACAGGTTCTGGGAGCCTTCAGCTACAAGTGAAGCACCTCAAAACTGGTTTTGTGGCTTGTGTAAGGAATTTTGAATTTTGTTGGCATTTTGGGGCTAAAAATTCAAGAAGTATAATTCAAAATCCCCATTTTTTCAGTTTTTGTGTATAGGAAAGTCTTGAAATTGGTTTGGATCGTTTTTTTAGTCAAAGTTGATTGAATTTTCTATACAATCTTAATTTATTAATAATCTGGTGGATTCGTGTAGTGTTATAGAGTTTCATGATTTGATAGTTCTCTCATTCAAATTTCTGATTGTTTCTGAAGACTTAGTGAAGACAAATTCTAATGGAAATAAATAGCTGAATAACGTATCGGCATTTCTACCCCATTTAGAGTATTGTGTTCAATTGTGGAGTCCAGTTGCGGCTCATGGAAGTTGGAGGATCATTTTGGAGCTGGAGAGCGTCCAGAAGCGGTTTACTTGTCTGATTGACGAGGTGGGTACTCTTCCATACAGTCGGCGACTGGAGATCCTCAATTTAACAACGCTGGCAGAGCGGCGAATACGTGGGGACCTCATTGAATCTTTTAAAATGATAAGTGGTTTGGCCAATTACGGAGCTGGTTTGTTCAGTATGAGCAGATCTGGTCTTAATGTGGTATCAAACAGTAAATGCAGTAAAAGTAGCAGTAAAATGAAAAAGTCCAAAGTTTTTTTTCTTCCGGAGAGGGTGGGACCATATTGGAACAAATTCCCCTCGGATGTCAAAAATTGTGGGACAGTGTTAAGTTTTAAAATAAGATTAGAGGCTTTCAAAAGAGAGACTATTTTAAACGGATCTGTAAATGATATGTGATAGTAATTGTTGGTATGTTTCGGACGAAGTATTAGGAAAGATTGAGGGATTAAATTATGCTACTAATAAAGAGAAGCACAATGGATATTTTATGTGTACTCCTTATGTTGCTAAAAAACGCTTCATCAACTTATATAGTAATGGAAAGTATGTAAATGTAAACTAGATTCATTTTAATTTGGTTGTTTATGCCAATAGTTTTTAGATAATTTTAAAACTTTCGTGGATTTATTTTTGACGATGTGTTGATTGACTATGTCAATCCGTCGAGATCGTTGCCGGCGTCTCGGGTAAATTAATATAAATAAATTTTGAATACGTTAAGCAAAATGCATGCAGATCGACTTAATATAACGGGTGATACTCGTAAAATATTTGTTCCAAATATTGTATTAGTTGTCATACGTTTAACTGAATGGGGGTCACGACATGATGCACTGATACAACATATTCAATATTTAATTAGATCGGTTTAATTGGACCGTCGAAGAGTCCAACTCGGCGCGCGTCTTGGTGGGTTATTAACTTACAAATTAAGATCAAGAGGAGTCGCGCGCTTTTATTTGCGCGAAGAGTGAAACACTTACGTTTTAGCAAATCTTTCGCGCCATCTGCAATAGTGGAAAATCCAAGGTTTTTTTTAGATAAATTGGTGGAGTTTGGGAATGGATTTGGTGAGAAGTCAGGTCAAAGCAAAGGCGGCAAAGCGCAAAGGTGCGTTAAAAAACCAATAGTTCAGCCTCATATAATTAAACTAGATTAAACATGAAGTTTTAAAGATTTCCCATAATGTTTTTATTAATCAGTTTTTCAATTTTTTTTTCTTTAAATGATCTTCAATGTGCGATAAGAAAGACAACATTTTTCTGTTGAAATAAAAATGTACATTTCAATGAGAGATCACATTACTTAAGAACATTTCTCGATAGTTCAAAGCAACACGTATACAATATGTCAGGTATCTTCACATACTTCTACACACATTCCAACATGTCAACTTCTATATAGCTAATATTCGACATAGCAGCAAAACATGCATTGAGTAACGAGTACATGAAAACATCTAAAAGTTCTTCTAAAATATAATACACTGACTTCAGCCCCAATTATCAACACATTACTAAGTCGGAATAAATTATAAAATAATTCAATTTTTAAAATGATATGAAGTTGTGGAAGCAAGATTAATTAACCAATCTCAATATCATCGCTTCATAAACCTATACTAAGTAAAGTATAAATATGAGACTGCTCAAATGCGAGCAATAAG